TCAAACATATTTTGTAAAAAGGAAGAGTTGTTATAATTTGAAGGGCATAGATATTTTTGTTAAACCCAGTATAGAACCAGTTTAAAGGGTCGGTCTACTACTATACAGGGAATGAGTCTGTGGAATGGTTTGGAAGATGATGCTAAAATGGTGAAGTCAATGTTTATATTTAAGAAAAAGATAAAAACTGTTTTGTTGGAACAATTTATATAACTGATTAATATCTATTTTGTTAAGTATGAAATGTTGAGTTATGTATTTTGATGTATTATATATGAATGTTTATGTTTAAATTGATGGTTTGAATTGATTTTGTTTATGAGGGAGCAGATATGATAAGAAATTTTCTTCTTCTGCTTCCTTTCATTTTATATTTGTTTTTCTTTAATTTTTTGAAATTGTATTTGTGTTTTTATTGGAAATTAAATGAAATGAATAAATAAATAAATAAATAAATTTTTAAAACTTTTAACGGTGGGTTTAACAGACTAGGTGGGTTGTAAGTTGTCAAATATATCAGGTGAAAATAATCAGTTTCAGGCTAGGTGATAGTATAATTTTTGGTTAAGCTTAAAACAGAATTATTGATGTTTTAAAAGTGCTCGTGGAGTCACAAATCAATGGATGGGTTGTCATTTTTAAACTATAATTCTTTTAAAAAAAAAATAGGTATATTCAAGCCAAAATTTCCCTTTGAATCTCAAACTACGAGTCTTTTACATTTTCATCAAAACATAAAACCTTTGCCATTCCACATTTGTTATGATCTTAAATTAACCTTAACCAAATTTACATCAAGTAAAAATAAAAAATAAAAAAAGCATAAGAAAGCTTAAAATAACGCATCAACATTTACATCAAGTTTAAAAAAAAGCATAAGAAAGCTTAATTTAACACATCAACAAGAAAAATAAGCTTTATTAAAATATTTTTAGAAAGGAAATCAAGTAATTTTATTGCAAAGACAACTTTTAAGTAAAAGAAAAATAATCCATTACAGTAGCGTGATTGGTTAATGGCTAAATATGCTAAACTTTAAACACTTCTACCAAAAACAAAATACATTTCTTAAAGACTGACAAGTCTTTCAAATACACTGCCTGTCCAAAAAAAAGTCTCCACCTGGATTTAACTAAGCAAATAGGTACGAGCCTCCTATTAGATAATTACTGCATGGGCCATTATCTTTCAGCTGGCAACAAGTTATTTAACCCCAAATGGTTCAATGAGTTGCTTCTCATTTCTTAAACAACCGTGTTTAAGTGGAAAAGATGTCAGTCTGTTTGAGAAGGGTCAAATCATTGCCATTCATCAAGCAGAGAAAACATCTAAGGAGATTGCAGAAACTACTACAATTGAGTTAAGAACTGTCCAACGCATTATTAAAAACTGAAAGGATAGTGGGGACCCATCGTCTTCGAGGAAGTAATGTGGCTGGAAAAAATCCTGAATGATCGTGATCGGCGATCACTTAAAACGTTTGGTGAAATCAAATCGAAGAAAAAACAACAGTAGCACTCAGGGCTGTGTTTAATAGTGAAAGTAAGAGCACAATGCAAAGGGAACTCAAGGGATTGGGACTGAACAGCTGTGTGGCCTTAAGAAAACCACTAATCAGTGAGGCTAACTGGAAAAAAAGGCTTCAATTTGCTAGGGAGCATAAAGATTGGACTCTGGAGCAATGGAAGAAGGTCATGTGGTCTGATGAGTCCAGATTTACCCTGTTCCAGAGTGATGGACGCATCAGGGTAAGAATAGAGGCAGATGAAGTCATGCACCCATGTGCCTACTGTGCCTACTTAACAATGTTACATAATTTTATAATATCCAGTGAAGTACACTTGAAATTTTTTAAGGAATAACAATGAACAAACAAATAATAATTTTATTCTTCTTCTATTCAGTAAATGGCAGAGCCATACGTTGGACAGCTTCGTACAAAGGGCTCCAGGATGTTGGGTTGTGCAGCAGCTGAGTTCACAAACAGCATTTTAAATATGACCATCACAGCTGCTGTTCCATCCATCCATCATCTTTACCCGCTTCTTCCATTTTGGGTCACGGGGGGTCGCCGGTGCCCATGTCCAGCAATCACTGTGCGAGGGGCGGGGGACACAATGGACAGGTCTCCAGTCCATCACAGGGACACATAGAGACAAACGAGACAAACAACCATTCACTCTCTCATTCACACCTAGGGACAATTTAGAGTTACCAATCAGCCTAACATGCATGTTTTTGGTCTGTGGGAAAAAACCGGAGTACCCGGAGAAAACCCACGCATGCACGGAGGGAACATGCAAACTCCACCCAGAAAGGCCCCTGGACCGGGGTTTGAACCAAGGACCTGCTCGCTGAGAGGCAGCAGCTCTACCACTTGCGCCACCGTGCTGCCCCCTTCCAGATCCTACTTTGTAAATTCCATTCAGTTTTCCAAACCATAAAAATTATTTTACAGCATTTAGATTTTTATGTGATGTTTAAAAATAATTCAACTTTTTTCATTCAACCTTTATTTAGACATGTAAATCCCATTGAGCCTCGAGGACTCATTTACAAGAGAGACCTGATTTCAACAAAGAATGATGACAACAATGGACAACAATAGACAGCCACAAAAAATGCATACAAAATTTTTTTTAACTTAATAAAATATTTTAAAAAAAAAGAGGAATTAAATGGGTTGTTTATTTAATGTTCTTTTTTCGTGTATTTGCATTACTTATAAAATGAGCACGGTAGTTCGTGCAGAACCAGACTAATTTTGTTTGATTACTCAATTAATCGCCAGAATACGCTACAGATTACCATAATATTTGTTTACAATAGCCCTAGTCAGGTCTAGGTTCAGCAACAGTATGTGCTCAAAGAATGAGGCCAGCTGACCACCTGAATATACTGAATGACCAGGTTATTCCAGCAATAGATTTTTTTCTTCCCGGATTGCACGGGCATATTCCAAGATGACAAAGCCAGGATTCATCGGGCTCGAATTGTGAAAGAGTGGTTCTGGGAGCATGAGACACCATTTTCACACATGGATTGGCCACCACGGAGTCCAGACCCTCATTGAGAATGTTTGGGATGTGTTGGGAGAAGGATTTGCGCAGTGGTCACAATCTGCCATCGTCAACGCAAGATCTTGGTGAAAAATTAATGCAACACTGGATAGAAATAGATCTTGTGACATTGCAGAAGCTTATTGAAACAACGCCACAGCGAATGCATGCTGTAATCAAAGCTAAAGGCGGCCCAACAAAATATTAGTGTTTGGCCTTCTTTTTGGTGGAAACTCGTTTTTTTTGGCGAGGCAGTGTATGAATACAGGACAGCAGATTGTTATTTTTTTGTAACTCTTCTAAATACATCTTATTGGAAAAGGTCTTTATAAATATATATTTCATTGAAAAACACTTACCAACGAGTCCATGTCGGAAACATTTGGTGGGGCGAAAATTGTCTGCACCATGAATTTATGCTTACTTTTTTCATTGGGGTCATATTCAAATGGTTGAAGCATAACTGTGAATGAAGTGGAAGAAAAATCTAATGTAAACAAGTGTTTGTAAACAACACACAAACAAAAGGTTCACATAACTAAGGTCACAACCTCATGGGTGTTGTAAAACTCCAAGATGGTCCATGCAAGTTAAAATACCATGGTATCACAAAATAAAAACAAAGGTTTTTAAAACATATCACATGATCTGACTATTTTAAAAATACAAGCAACTGAGGTTACTGCTGCTTAAATCAGTGTCGGCTATTTCACAAAACTGTGACTGGTCAAACCTGAGATAAGCTCATGTCTAGTATCTCATTAAATGCTTCCTTATTAAAAGACTTGTGTGGTTTTGAACCAGATTCAGTAACGTCCTTGTAAATGTTAAAACTGGCTGTTATTAGCAATATTTGAATAATTTAACCAGCAATAGTCAAAGCTTCTGTTACTGTTATTTTTGGTTCAGCAGCTAAAAATTCTGTACAACAATAACATTTAAAACGGTAACTAATACAAAAATATCAGCGTTTACTGGAGTTATACTGGTTACAGGTCAATTTTCATCCACATCTTAACTCACACGTTATGGTCTTCAAGTGAACCGTGGATTGTGTGAACTTGTTTGATTATTAACTTGGTCCATAAATCACAGCTTGAGTCATGAACACGTCAGCTACAACTAGCACAGCTTTACTGTAGCATCTACTTTACTGTTTTACTCCTACTCGTGCAGTCAGGGCCACTTTGTTTTTACGTTCCAAGATGTGCTTCATTAAGAAACAACAAAACGAATATTAAAAGGTATACCCGAAATGACGACAGTTGCTCCGGGGTCGATGACTCCGCTGTTTGGCCGTACACAGTACCTACGTGGTGCCGTCGTCTTCACTTTGAAACACACTCTTCTGTCAGAAGGGTTCCTCAATTTTAGGTTACTGGTGACTACATCTGTAAAAGGACCTGGAAAAAAAAAAAAGCAAGATAATTAATGGTTGTGTATTTTGAAGAACAATCAAATAAAAATATAATAAAAGAAAAACGATCCATTTAGATAATATTCTCTCTTTTTTTTTTTTTTTGTTACAATTTTCCAGCAAATATGTTGAACTGCTTACAGTGAAATAAATGCAAGCTCTGTACGTTACATATTCAAACAGCAAAATCTGTAGATGTTCAGCACTTCTAGGTTCATCGCCCCTTTTGAAGAACAACAGGTCTGTAGTTTTTTTTGTAGGTTAGACATGCAGGATGTGAGAAGCAAGCCTGTAAGATAGCTCTAGTGTATAAAAACAGACTGAATAACAACAACGAAGCATAACGATAAAAGCGATGAGGCAAAAACTAAATCTGAAGCTAACCTAAACACTATCGAACCACCTGAAACAATTAGTTACCTCCAGACACTCAGACAGATGCTTTTATATGGATGTCCCACGTCCTTTCCCCAGTCAGGTCATATCGTGAGATCAATAGCTGTATAAAGGGTATCCATCTTGTGACAGGGCTGGATTCAATTTAAACCCTTAATCGTGTTTGGGACTAGCAACTTTGATCATAAACGTCAAAAGACGCAACCAAATCAGAAGTTCATCAAAGTCGATCCTTACAATTAGCCTGAGAATATGTATAGAAAGCTTGTCTCGTGATGTAAAAATGACATCACAGCAAACAATCTCAGGAAAGATGTAGACTTTTAAGCTTTTAGAAATGGCGGGAGCATCGCAGAACCAAAATGTGTGACTGAAGTGCTCCGTTGTCAAAACATGATAAATTAACACAAGTTAGCAATTCTTTAAACTAAATGCAAAGTTACTGAGCATCGCCATTGATCTTACATTGGTAATAAGTGTTTGTTTAATCCCACAACAGTGTTTGCACAGACTGTGTCGTCAGTTCGTGATAATACTGAGCTACAAATCTGGATTACAGATTTACATGTCGACAGTTCAGGAATCGCAACAAATGCAATTTGTGGCACAAAGACGCTCGGGGATAAATTGGCTTTAACGCACCTTGCTGTCTCCGTTTCTTAAGAAATTACACCAAATCATCCAAGTTCTGGTTTGAGAGGTCTTGTGAAAAAGTTTCCAGTCAGTAAAATAAGAATGAATGCAAGTCCAAACTTTGCAATAAACTCTTGACAACTACCTGAACAAACAAAACAACATAAATAAAAAACAGACTACCGGTAGATAGGACACTGGCCGTACACGGTATCTACATTTAATAAGAATGTGTTGGGAGGAGCGTTCCTGAAAAATGTTACTTCTCTAGTTTATCATTTACTAGAATAAGGCTAAGTGAAAAAGTATGTGTTAAAAACCTATTTTAAAGTTTTAAGACCACTGTATCAAAGAAAACTTGATCCGTTTTTTTTAATAAATCGATTTTTTTATTTTTTATTATTGGATTTGCATTTTCCTTTTGTGAAGATGTGCACAAAAAAAATCATTTGGATTAATTAAAACATGTTATACATGTTTTATACATATTTAATAATTTGTGATGTCATCACTGACAGTCAGGAACAACGAATAATTCATGAAATTCTTGGTTTAAAAGTTTAGGTTTTCATTTTCTATTTTAAAAATAAATTAAAACAGGCTGACTAACTGGAACCTGTTTTCGTACAGTTTATGGATTTCACAGCTCAGTTGGAGCTGAAGAACTTGACAAAGTCCACAACTGGTTTCATACATGACCCATTACCAAGATAGATAAGAAACACTAAATGGCTGCAAGGACCCACCCAGCTAAAGTCAAAGTGAAGTATTGTTTTCTGAACAGGTGTAGCCTAAATACATTCCTGCAAACTTGAAAAACCTCATCTCAGACAAGGTGCAATATCTGACTTTTAGTTTTTATACATGTAGTCCGTGTTTCTACAGTGGTTGTACTGCTGCTATGAAGGAAATAACATAGGTTATGATAATTTTGTAAAACAGATGAAACCTAAGAATAATCATTGATATACATCACCCTTCTAAATGTCACCATTAAAAATAATAAATAAGAGTTTCTAGTGTAATTATATATTTAGACAGTCACCACTTTGACGTTGTGTAATTTTAAGTTGACTAATAAAATACAATAAAACACCATTCTCTTTGCACATTTCCAAGAGAAGCATCTCTGAAACAAATAAAATACTTGATACCAGCAGAGCACATCATATCTACACCCACATTCTGTGCACCCAGTGCCCATCTCTCAGCTCTGTTGCATGCATGCCGAGTTTGGATCCCCCAGGCCTGTCCTAGACTAAAAATACCAGCCAAGAAAGGGGGGCTGCCCTCCTTGCTTGCAGTAGGATTCCCAACGGAGGCTCCAAAACAGTCCAGGTCTCGCATACGTGTGGACCAATTTAGCTCCATCTCTGTGACAGCAAAAGAAGGGCTCCACTCTTCTCAAATTGCTTCTGAGCGTCTGTCAGGAAAACAGTTCTCTTCTCTGTGTTCCAAAACAAACAAAAAGATAACGTAAAAATTGTCCGATTGCTTTTATTCAATCAAGCTCTCTGGATTAAAATTAAAATTGTCAGCATGCAAATTGGCTCCATGTGAAAGGATACACCGTTTTTTTTTTTATGCTAGGGATTGTGGTTTTCTTTACACGTTAAAGCAAACAATAGGGTTACAACCCTTGGTTTTAGCTTTCCCCCTGCCATTTTTTAGATTGAACATTTTGGCCTCAATGCGAGGGAACGGTGTAACCATCTGTACACAAATCACAGATGTCAAACTACTACAATTTAAAGCTTTCATCCATTTTAGTTTACAAAGATCAAAAGATTAATCTGATGAGGGAAAATGCAAACCCTGTGGCTGATCAGTCATCTTAAGTCTAACTTAAATAAGAGCTAAATGTCACAAATCAAGTCAAGCATGAAGATCCATTCTTAGACTGGGACTGTGTCAGCTGGGTATCAATCTAAAGTTCAGCTAAAGATCAAAACATTAATTTAAATGTACTTAGCTCCAACTCTTGTCCCTTTTTAAAAAGCTTTAAGTGATTGAACTGATCATTGCATCCCAAAAGACCTCTATTGTTGGGTTTTCAACTAGAAAACTGAGAACACTGATCATTTCAGTAACATGTTTTTGTTAAAAAAAAGAAAAAGGTGCTTTGTGACTAGAAGTGTCTTTTTTTTAGGACTGCAGCTATATTACTATTCAGATTATTCAATGTATGTGCCATGCTGAGAGATTTTCCTGTACTTGTATACATTAAACAGTCAAAGGTACCCATGAAGACTGGATCAAAAAATAAAAGAAAATCATTAAGTAAGAATCAAAACCTGCACATTCTCTTAATGGTTTAAGTCTCTTTAAATAAAAACTTTATAAGCGAAATCTGTAAACAGCTGCCAACAACTAGGCATGCCTAAATACCTAAAGAAACAGCCGAAGCAACTGAAAATACTGAAAAGCCTTTAGGGAAGTCTGACAATTTTGATGGACTGGTACGTATTTACGCAAAAATCTGATGAGTATAGAAGCAGATAGGTTTTGAAAACAATTGAAATTGAAATAAACTTAAAAATGGTTTGCACCTGCATTTCTGTCAAATATAACCAATGAGACCAATTAGTTTGGGCATGCTAAAACACCATTTATTCTGGACAGTTGTCTCACTTGTTCTTCCTCATACAGCAGCAGATTCATGCTTAGATTTCTACCTAAACGCCTTCTCTGAGATTCAGCGCTTGTTGGACTCCACCATGTTTACCTGCACAAATCACAGCCAGCTCAATGTAGGTCAATCAGCATCCCGAGTGCTTTGTTTACATTGAGTACGTACCTGCATTTTAGACTTGCATGTCAATGGAAAAACTACTGAAGTGACTTATTTCAAATTGCACTCTTTGATTTAGTCAGGATATCTTTTTATTGATATCATTTCATAGTTTGCAATGAGTTCATTTAATGCAAGTTCTGTACCAGCATCGAACTCAACCAGGAAGGACACTGATTTGCATTAAATGCTAATCAAAAATTTTACCTTGTGTTGGTTCTGTTCTGCAGACAAATGCATTCTGTTAAAATGTTGAATTATCGATGTGGTTCCATTTGGGTAAGTTAATTCAGTTTTGCAACAGGCACGACGGAGAGTATTTTACTTTAGTTTGAAACATTCTATTTTTGGAGGGGCACTTTATGTGTTTTACTTTGAATTTTTCTCTCTTGGTATTTTCCATCTTTCTCCACACCACGGTCAAAATGAAACACGCTCCATATGAAACACGTCTTTGTAAAAGTCTATGCAACACGCACCAATATTTGTCAGAGTTAGTTGTAATTAGATCATTTTAATCTTTCATCTGTTGGAATAAAGTAATAAAACTAACATTAATATTTACATGTAGCCCACATCTTCACTCTATTCAATTCAGTTCAGTTTATATAGCGCCAAGTCACAACAGAAGTTGTCTCAGGTAATGTCACTGCTTTTGCCTTTAAATACTCAATGTGATCAGAATGTCACTAAAGTGCATAATTGATTAACACGAGATTTCTTTGAAAAAAAAAAAAAGTTTGAGTCCATTGAAGTAATGGTGTCTTGATACTGGTATACATGAACATGTTTACAGTAAGTCAAAAGACAAACGAGTGCACCATAAATTAAATAAGATTAATTAAATTTGTAGGGGGGGAAAAGTAGCAGTCAAGGTACTAATACCACTAATCTAATAGTAGTAGTAAGATTAAATAAACAAGACAAATTCTCAATTGTTCTCACCAGCATGCCAATCATTTGTCAGATATAATGTGGCTGTGAGAGCAACAACAACCTCTATCCTATAAAGAACCAGCAGGATTATAGTTTTTAAAGGCATCACTAAAACAAACGTCTCCTTGGTAAAACAAATAAACAAACAGATCAGTAACTGGGGCAAATACCACAGAAGCTGGAGGAAATTCTAGGACAGTATGTAATCTTTTTAGCTTCTGACCCCCTAGCAAAGTCAAAGACTTGAAACTAGTGGTGTCCTGATACCAGTCTCAAATACTCGTACCTTGTAAAACCCTGCTATACTTGGGCCAGACACCACTTACGTTAGCGACGTCATTTCCTCTACCAGTAACCAAGGGCAAGAAGGAAAATAAAATTCTGTATTTTAAGATAAATACAGGTAACGTTAAGACAACAGAGTACCTGCTGTGTTTTGAATAAAAAAAAAATGCATTTCTAAAGTCATGTTTAGGTACTAACATTTTAACTACTTTGTATCTGTACTCAAAGTGAAGTATTTGTACTCTGGAAAAAAATAGTATAAGAGCATTCCTACTTGGAAGCCCAAATTTCCTTGGCTTAACTACACAAACACCATGAAAGTAGTAAGAAAATATGAACATAAATAGACATTAACATCATAATACGCCACGTTTTGCCTCAAATATGACCTGTGTCGTCTGTTGTAACAGAGAATAAGCTAAGACCCAAAACCTGGTATTTTATGGCACATGGTGAGGTTCTGAACCCATAAACCACTTCTATAAATGAAAAGGTTCATAAGTTTTCCCCTTATCACAAATTATTGTCTTTGCACCGAAATGAGCCACAGCTCAACTGTTTGAAGCAACAGGTTGGAAATACACAAAAGCTAGGTAGGACATTTTAAATTATCACAAATATGTCATATATATATAAAAATTTAAAAAAAAAAAAACAGAAGCAGGTAATAAACCAAGCAACACCGCCGGCTGGATACCCAACAGTTAAGTGACACATCACTGGACCTTTTTGTTGCTGCAGGAGAGAAATCAGTGAAATCAATCTGGTGAGATCAGGGTGTTCTCATGTCAGTAATGTTGTCCGGGGCACGTTAGCACTTCCGAGATAAGTTAAATACTGCCTCAGGTGTGTTACGTTTCAGCGTGATTTGTTCCCCTGACTCAATTCCTTCTCCTGAAACGTCAGGCTAACGAGGAGTTTGGATTTCAGGGCCAAGTCTCCCAGAAAAACAACACTTTACAGTTGCTAACATTAGCCGCGCCAGCACAAATGTTGAATTAAATAGTGCCGAACAGCTCTGCGTGATTTCAACGCAACGCCGGGTGTTGTCAGAGGGCCCCGTCGTCACGACATGAGCACCCGCCGGAATGTGCGCGTCTCCGGCTGTCCACGTCACTACAGCTCGAGGCTCCAGCGGCCCACCCGTCCTTTCCCTGGCTAACTTAAAATGGCGGTGCATGCTAGCTAGCTCCGGGTGTGAAATATTACCCCAGTGAGGTAATTAATTCACAGCTAAACGCTTGGTGTGCGTTGTAATTCACCTACCTTTAAATTTAAGGTCGGAGGGAGGGTCCAGAATCAGGACCTGGTCCAATTTAGACATGTTGGCAGAGGGGATGCGCCTGGTGGAGAAGCGGATCGTGGAAGTCAGCCGTAATCCCGGATCCCCTCTGCTGCTGACTGACTTGTGCGCGTGAGAGGCGCGTCTGCGTAGTGCGCACAAATACTCCGCCGCGCGAGAGCTCAGCCCTGCGTGCGCGGTGTCCTCGTGGCTCCGTATGAGATGCGATTAAACTGAATTAATAACATTCGATGTTCTCATTTTAAACAGGAGACCGTGTCGATGTGACTCGAACTGAAATGTTTGATGCTGTTTTGTACCAGGAAGGAGATGGAGTTTGGATAAACGAGGCAAAAATCACCCTTAAAATATTTTATTGTGATTTTAACTATAATCCATTATTATTGTGTAAGCGTTTATTCAGCACTATTGTTTCTTTATATTTCTTTTTACTATCTGCATAACAAAAGGTTCAGGATTACTCGAGGTGACGTTACTTTTAGCCTTTAGCTTTTAGCTAGCCTTGTGCTACTTTCATCTTTCATCTCCATTTTTGTACTTGGGCTTTAAGTTATAGCTTTTACATCGGCTTGTGTTGCTTTTAGCTAGTGTTTTACTACTTTTAGCCTTTAGGAAGACTTTTGCTACTTTAGTTATGTAGAGTGGTGGAAAAACAAGTTGTGATAAGTAAAGTAAGCGCTAAGTGTAAAATTAGGCACCCCCAACATTATTTTTATTTTTCCATCTTTAATTTCTCATTTAATTTCTCATTTGTTATTCTGTGCAATTCCACATACCGCCGCTAGGGGGCACCTGTCGCATTGGTGTCATAGAGAAGAACAACAAAGTCCATGCTCAATAATCCAGGTATACAATCCAACATTTTTCAGTCAGGTCATCTGGACAGTGTCTTTTTTTTTATTTTATTTTTTTATGGGCACACAGAATAAACCTTCCTGTTAGATGCTAAATTGTGTGTGTCTCATCTTTTCTGTGTCACAGGTCAGTAAATATGGATGTTAATGCATGTATATTGTCTACTTTTAACTGTTTGAATATGTTATTGAATTGTGAGTCACATTATGCAGTTTCTGATGAGTATAGAAAACAGGACATATGTCTGGATGCTAATTAATGCTAATACTAGCAGATTTTGTGCATGTGTGTTGAGCTAGCTGAGCAACAGCTGAAGGACTGCTGAATTCACTTTGAACTTATACTTTGCACTTTGTGAAGCTGTTTGCACACAAATATTTATTCTATTTATTTATAAAATGGACATTTCTTTATGGGTTAATGAAAAAACAAATTATATTGTTATGACATTAAGTGAGTAAGTAATGGCTGCATATGTGTGAAGCTTAGTAGAGAGAGACGGCATTAAAGGAGCATTGCACCTATTCAGCTTAAAGATTAGTTTTTTGTGTTAAGAGAAAAGCTGTTCTGTTAAAACAATGGATACAGTTAAAAGCTAAAATGCTTAAATATTAAAGTACGTTTGTGCAGAATAAAAATAGGTAAAAATACAAAAGGTCTGCGATAAGGGACAAAGTATTTGAGTTAAAGCATTGCTAAAAAAATTAATATGGTTTAGAGAATTAAAAGCCATCTGTGAATATATTTTGTTATGTGATGAAATGCACGTTAAATGGAGCATGTTAAAATAATTTTCGTTCGGTTTAAAGGGATGTGGCCATTTGTGATTTACTGAATCTAAGGGCTATGTATCGTAGTTACTCAGTGGTACCTGAAGTATTTAAAATGAAGTATGTTCACACAGAACAATAAACCTTCCTGTTCGATGCTAATGGAAGCTCAACGTGTGCGTCTCATCTTTTCTGTGTCACACGTTGAGAGAACAAAATCACATTACCCTCAACCCATCCAAGGTTGCCAGGTAATAGTTACAGTTTCACTATATTTAGGTTTAAGCTAGCTTTGTTAGCTACACTTAACTTTTAGCTAGTGGCTTTCTTTTAGCCTTTGAATAGCCATTTGCTTTTTTTTAGATTTGATTACCGTTTTACTACATTTATTTTAATCTAGACTTTTTCCTACTTTTAGCCAGCATTTTTCTGTTTTTAGCTTAGTTAGCCTTTACTTTGAGCTAGTCGTTCACTGCTTTTAGCTTGTAAAAAAGTTAAGTCTGGTGCAGCACCTAAGACTGAAGAAGTCTTTTCGGATGAAAGTCGAAACGTTTCTACAATTTTTTTGTTTTTTGAATGTCCAGAGGACCAGACTTAACTTTTTTAGATTTTTCTACCTGGATTATTGAGCATGCATCAGGATGTATTTAGCTTCCTTTTGACTCTTAGCTATACTTTGGCTAGCTTTTAGCTAGCCTGTTGTTTTTAGCTAAAGCTTTGTTACCTTTTTGGTTGCCTTTTACTTTTAACTTCTGGTTAATGCTTTGGCACATTTTGTTTTTAACTAAGAAAGCTTTTGCTACTTTTAGCTTTTAGTTAGCCATTTACTTTTAGCTAGTTTTCTACTATTTTTAAGGTCTATTACAATTTTGCTACATTTAGCTTTTAAACAGCCTTTTGCTACTTTTCCCTTTTAGTTAGCTCTTTACTTTTAGCTAGTGTTTTGCTAGCTTCTGGTTACCATGTTGAAACATTTTGCTTTTAATTAGCCTTTTGCAACTTTTAGCTCCTGGTTATTGCATTGCAACATTTAGCTTTCAGCTAGCCTTTTGTTGCTTTTAGCTAGTGTTTTTGCTATTAGCCAGTGTTTTGATTATTTTTGGCTTTAATTACAGCCTTAACTCAGTTTTAGCCTTTTCAGTAAACTTCAAGTTATTCAGCTCTTGAACTTTCAACACTAATATTGAAACATTTATATTTTAGAAGTCAATAATTAAAATAAAAATGATAAATTCCTGGAGCGGGGTGTCAAACACTCAAAAATACAGATATTGGCTTGAGTTTAATGCAAGATTCAAGGGACTCAGAGAGTTGTCTGCTCTAATAAAATGTGGACATGATCTGTAAGAGGAAAGAGCACTTTCTGAAAAACAAGCATTTATTTAATGATCAAAGGAAGTTTTGTAATATTCTGCTGTAAGTGGAGCTCTTTCAAGTGACAAACACGGATGTACGACAGATAATTTATGTAAAAGGTCACCTAATTGTAATAAAGTTTAGCAGCGTGCGGTTACGTGACAGATGGAAGATAAACATCTGAATCCACTTTTTAAAGTTACGCTGGGTGGTTCCAACTAAAACAAGTCACATCTGATCAATAAAATGTTCTGATCCTTCAGTATATGAGGAGCAACTCCACAGCACTTAAGTCTGTATCATATAGTGTTTACCATATTTAACTCAAAACACTTTATCATAAGAAGGAATAAGATAAACATGATTAAAGTTTTGTTACAAGGTTTAATATACAGAGTTCTACAGGAGTTACAAAATGAGGTTAAATGAAAAACGCTTTCAAAGTGGACCGTACCAACTCATCGAAGCATTATCGAGGTGTTCACTTTAAAGAGGCACTTAAGTGACAACAAAACCATTAGTTCTGCTTTTCATTAAATACAGAAGGGTGCGTCAAACCAAATAAATCAGCATTTATTCAAATCTCAACTTCAAAATCTCACCAAGCACCTTTATATTCCATGATAAGATAATAACCGTTTAGTGAAGCACTGTAGTCACAAGCCTGACGTTTGCTCAGAAGACCAGATAAGTCTTGGAAGAATTTAAAGGTCGCCTCTTATCGTATTTCCAAACGTAACAAACTGTAGCAAAGTACCGTGATTTTGTAGTTTTATTAAGGATGTTTGACAATTTTTTTATTTTTACATTTCATTACAAAGGACACAATAGATTTTATTGTTGCATCACACATGATGGTAAAAACGGGTTTTGAATTATTTGATTTCTCTCCAATAATTGGAATAAATTAAAATTCTGGAAGTAAAACCCCCCAATTATTTTAGGGAAGAAAAAAAAACAACAAAACTAACGCGTCTCTTTTATGAAACTAATCTTTTATTAAACATAAGTCAATTTCAAGTGGTCAAATTTATGCACGTTATTGATAAAAATCAGGCGATTAGCACGATTTCAGTTTACGAGTGAACTGAGCACCTCATGCTCTTTACCTTTCTCTTGTCCACCATATTTCTTCCAGAGTTCAATTTGCACAAAGACAAAGTAATGTTTCTTTTTAGGACGAGAAATATTTTAGGTAATTACTTTTATTTTCCTCTGTAAAGTACTAGCTCTGCTGCTGTTTGGCAGCTGTTTCCAGCTGTTCCTTGTAGCGACACGTAAATGTAAATTCCACCACTGCTCATCATTTCAGCACTTGGGGGTAATAATGTTTTTAGGATTTTGGCATTTGAGCAGTTAAATCTGCAGCATCAAACCCTTAAATAAACCCACGTGTTTAAAACGCATGAGGAGGAATGTTGAGGTACAAAACTGTATACATGTTTAAAACTTGCTCTAATGTCTTATTTAAATATCCTAAATACATTCTGCACAAATGCTCCAAGAGTAAACAAGTGTAAAGTTAGCAAATCCATTAAGATTAGACAAATATCTGGACGGCAGGTGGCTCTGAAAACATAAATTTAGTTGCATAAACTACGAAGCATGGTTTAACAACAGGAATCATCCAGAACCACGTGATTTAATGTGTGTATTATTATCTTAGTTTGTCAAATTGGATCGAATTTAGTTTTAAAAGTTCACAGAAATGCAGATGTAATGCAGCCAAAACACCACAAGAGGGCAGCAAACCCAAAGGTTCCTGCTTCTTTTACGTCAATGGAATGATATAAATGTGTTTTGGCCCATTTGTTTCGTTCCCCTCGTTCTGACCTCGGTCCATCTAAAGTCTCCCCTGAAGCTCCGAGTGCATCGTGGACTTTGTGCTCTGCCGGTGGAGTCTTGGTCCAGCCCGTCCATCAGATCCTCCTGGTTCTAGCAGCACCTCCTGGCAGTCGAACTGGGCTGTCGTGTGAGTTTAAAGGAATCGTTGCTTTCTACTTCAGGGTTCTCCAGGGGCGGGATCTGTTTGCCTAAAAACGCATGAATAATTGTGACTGACAAAAGGTGTTTCATCTTTAAGTCTTTGTTCAAATACCAGAAAACAAAAACTGGTCAACGTCTGGATCCTCACATAAATAACAACAAAGTGACAAAGTTCGTGACCCGTGCAGGAAAAATGATATTCAGAACTCAAGACTTCATTGACAACAAGTCTGTAAAGACAATCGAGTGATCCCAGTAACTGAAACAGCAAATGTTCTTTTAGCTGCTGCCACAGCGAGCGAGCTCACACAAGATGTGGCAGTTGGGTTTTTCCTGTTATGTCCGTCCTGACTACTTGAACTCGCAGCTTCAAGATTAAAAGACTGCGGCACTGACCACCAGGCTCCCCAACTAAATCTGAATAAACAATCTACCTTTAGATTAGTTTTCAAACGAGCATGTTTTGAGAAATAATCTTTTACATTTCCTTTGAAATTGACCGTTTTTCTCTGCCGGAGCGCCGGGAAATCCCTTCGTATAATGTTTGGCGTCATTGTGAAGCACGGGGATTCCCCTTTTTAAGTAGTGGACAGGAATTTCCCACGACGTCGCGCCAGACCAATAAAAATCGAGTTTTCAAAGCAAACAAAGCCAGATTGTTGCCAAGACGACAAAATTCAACAAACCATGAATCCTGTGATGTGAAAATAATAACTCCACGTGTAGTTATGACTCATTTTGCCAACATGGGTCACGCATGTTGCCAAATGTTTTTATACCAGTGATTGAATCGGGGGTCGTGTAAACGGAGCACCACATGGCGTTTAACATAGACATTAATACGTAGACGCCCCGTTGGACGGCGTTCCTACGTCGGCGCCATCTCGGTGGAGTCGTGAGGAAAACGGTAAAAATCGTACGTGCGCTGCTTCAACAAGTCTCTTGATCGTTTTCCAGCCATAGTCTGCAAAACTTTCACCGTTATAACAGTGTCTTCAGCGTGTACTTGTCAAAGTTATGGAAAATGGATTCCCGCGCAGAATCAATTTATTCGTTTAATTTTTCATTCATTCGTTCAACCTGGTATTTAGTCTGCTCATGGTATTATATCTAATAATAACAGTATGTGTACATAACCTGCGTGCACGTGTGGTGTTTAAAAGGATTTTTGTTGCCTCCAAAATGGCTAAAAAATAAATGAAAATAAGATATGTTTATTTTATTGTGTGCCAAGGAGGTTAATCCACATTTATTGTTATTCATATATTATTAAAGTGTAACGTACACGGGTTTTTTGCCCCACTTTACAGCTGATGAAACATGAATTACTGATGTGTGGGATTAATAAAGTTATTGTACTAAAGTATGAAGCTTTAATACATTGTTTTTGGTACCCGTTTCCCATTAACTTTAGTGTGTGTGTGAATTAAATAAGCTTAACGGGGCGTCTACGTATTAATGTCTATGGTTTAAACCTTCTCAGTCCACACTCTGTTTTGAATTGAAAAGGACGTCCAGTTGTTTAATTAAAAGGACTCGGATTTGTTGACATCTGGTGATGATGCTCCACACTGAAACTAACTCAGTAGCTCTCACCTCACCATCTTTAATTTTGTCAACACATTAATGACAGCCATACAAACGCCCTCCTAAATTTCAGCTGGTTTTTTTGCAGTGGCTGTAAAAGCAAACAGTGCAGAGTCCGAGTCGTTTTAAGATAAAAAGCAAACCACTTTTTCCAAGTTGTTTGTATGTGAATAAAAAATATCTGATTCCATTTTTGCCAACAAATCCTCCTACATGTACAAAAAAAACATGACTATGTATAAAAGGGGCTTTAGAGAAAGGAGAAGGTTTACTGATTTTCTGAAAGAGCTCCTCAACGTTGACGGCGTTTCTGGCGCTGGTCTCAATAAAAATAGCTGCGATTGATTCTGCAAATTCCTTCGCTTCTTTCATGGGAACTTCCCTGTCGAACACAACGAGGGTCAAACGGACACAGTTCAGACAAACGTGAAGAAAATATAAAGGTCTACAATTACAGCTGTTTGTGCATCAACATCATTACAGTCGCTCAGGTTCGTTAATCGGTGTAAGAAAAGTAAAAAGCTTTAAGAATGTGCACTCGAGCAGCAATTCTGACTGAATGGAAAACATGTTTTACTCGTCAAACCCAGATCAAAGCTCCGACAGTCACACACACGTTCTCGTACCTGATGTCTCCTAAATCGTTCTTGTTCCCTGCTATGGCTACAACGATGTCGTCTGGGCCGTGTTCCTTCAGCTCCTTCACCCACTTCTTCAGTGTCTGGAAAGAGTCCTGGACAGCAGGAAGACGTCACGGTCAGCTCTGGCAGAGGCTTTTATTATGAGAGTACGCCCCGGCGTTTTATTTTAATTTATTATTAAAGTTGTGTCACACAGTCGGCGCGTCTGGTGTTTTTAGACAAGTTTCCATTAGCTGACTAGGAAAGAATGGCACTTGTAGGTCAGAGTCTCGGGAAAAACAACTCGGTTTGACTTTGTGTACGACGAGTAGTTTAAGGTTGAACTTAATAATAATAATAATAATAGTGCATTTTATTTGTCAGCGCCTTTCAAAACACCCAAGGACACTTCACAGCATTAAAAACACAGTATTAAACAATATAAAATAACTATTAAAAACACTAAACCAAAAAGAAAACAACATTTAAAAATAACAGTTAAAGTGAAAAGGCTAGCTTGAACAGATGAGTTTTGATTTGAAGGTCAGAAGGCAGTCAATGTTACGGATGTCCGGGGGAAGAGCGTTCCAGAGCTGGGGAGCAGAGTGAGAAAAGGCTCTGTGTCCCACGGTGCTGAGGCGGACAAGAGGCACGTTAAGGTGGATGGAAGTGGAAGAACGAAGGGAGCGTGAATGGGTGGTAATGTGCAGGAGATCTAACAGGTAAGGAGGGGCGAGGTTGTGGATGGCCTTGAAAGTGAACAACAAGATTTTAAATTGAATTCTGAATGTGACTGGAAGCCAGTGAAGTTGCTGTAAAACTGGGGTGATGTGGTTAAATGAGGGGGTTTTGGTGACGATGCGGGAAGCTGAATTTTGAACCATTTGAAGCTTACGGATTAATTTGTGAGGCAGACCAAAGAGGAGAGAGTTACAGTAATCGATTCGAGAAATGACCAGACTGTGGACCAGGATGGAAGCAGAGTGCGGGGAGAGGGACGGACGGAGACGGTTGATATTTCGAAGGTGGAAATATGCAGACCGGGTAATACTATTGATGTGAGAGTGGAAAGAGAGAGTGCTGTCAAGAATGACACCCTGACTCTTGACGTGAGGGGAGGGAGAAACTAAGGAGTTGTCGATTGTGAGTGAGAAACTGTTAACTTTAGATAAGGTGGATTTAGTGCCTATGAGTAGAAACTCTGTTTTATCACTGTTTAATTTCAGGAAGTTAGACGTGAACCAGGATTTAATTTCAGCTAAGCAGGAAGTGAGGGAGGAGGGAGGAAGTGAAGAGTTGGGTGCAGTGGATAAAAAGAGCTGGGTGTCATCGGCAAAACAGTGGAAATGGATGTTAAATTTACGAAAGATATTACCAAGGGGGAGAAGGTAGATGATGAAAAGAAGGGGCCCCAGGACAGAGCCTTGGGGCACACCTGAAGTCACAGGAGAGGAATGGGATCTGAATGATTTCAGTTGGATGAACTGAGTGCGGCCAGAGAGATATGACTGAAACCAAGCGAGGGGTGTGTGGGTGATGCCAATGGATGAAAGTCTGCTGAGGAGGATGTTGTGGGAGATGGTATCAAACATCGCACTAAGATCGAGGAGGATGAGGAGAGAAAGTATTCCAGAATCTGCTGCCATGAGAAGAGAGTTGGTGATAGTGAGGAGAGCAGATTCTGTGCTATGACCGGGGCGGAAACCAGACTGGAACTATTCATATAGACTGTTATCAACTTGAATCAATGAACTTACCAGTTTAGTGATGTCGTAGACGACGACAGCAGCAGCTGACCCTCGGTAGTACATGGGAGCTAACGAGTGAAACTAAAAAAATGAAAGAAACACTTAATAATATGTTTAAATCTGAATCAAACCATTAAAACAGCTTTCTGTCGTTAAAAATCAGCGCGCCACAGATAATAACCGTACGAGCAAAAACGTCATCCTCGTTCTTTTGAAGGTTACTCTTCTTGTTCAGTTCATTTCCTTTTACGATCCAATAATAAATAATTTGCTTTTTTAATTACCATCTGAAACTAAATAGAAATCAAGTTTGTTCCCATCAAGTTGACAGATTCTCAGCAGACGTGATTTAATATCATCAGTGCTGAAGACTCGAGGTGAGTAACCACGTCATTGTTCTTGAACTAGAGAAACTAAATGAAGGTTGATATTTATTTAAACAAATCCCTTTATTAAGTGTTTGCAGTTCATATCAGAGCTGTGATAAAAGTTATTAAAATAAAATATAGGCCAGTTGTTGCGCCTTAGCTTCAAAATAAATGTGCTGGTTTATGTTTTTTACATTTGCACTTTAAAAGAACAAACGTTTTATCGTCATTATCACAGCTACTAATATCACAGACGCATGTTCTACGTCACATTTCACAATTATTGTTTGGTTTATCTGTGGCTACATGTTTAAGGAAGCGTTTCAGTCTAATTTTTTTTTTAAGTTTTAATTGTAATAAAATGTGCTAGTAAAACTGCTTTTGCTGTCGTCAGCATAAAAGGTGCAGAGTATTTTTTTCCTCTGTTAATGTCGATGTAAATTAAACAAACAGGACGAAATCACACTCTGCAATCTAACCCTAAAGAATCTAATTGGTTTCCCATCACCACCGAAACATTTTTGCACGACCACAACAACTTTCTTCACACAAACACGTCCTAATTATTGATCAGATCTGGCAAAATCACGTTTCCAGGTTTTGTGCATCTCGGATCACAAACGGCTCGTAAAAAGACGGCCGTGGTGACGGAGGTCTACACATATTGTTTTTTCACACATACAGGAAATACTTCAACTGGTTTTTCCACGCTGTAAGCAAATTTGGTAATTGAGGTAACCCCCATCCCCACAGAGGACAAAAAATGAATGAATCATTTCAATGTCAAGAAACTTCCCACTTTCTCTTCATGAAAATATAAAAATATTTTTAATGTGCCACAGAGACGAGTGCATTAGAGTCCTGAAATGATCAAGTTTAATATGAAGATTAGTTAAAAAAAACTACGATCTAAGAACAGTTTTCAGCTTCTGACAAACAAAAAAGGAGCAACAGAAACTTGTGGTCCCACAATCCAAGATTCAAGTGTTCAAATATTATATTGAGGTCATTTAAATGAGGGAAGAGCTACCATCAGATTGTTTATTATCATTTATAACACATTTCATAGTAAGTGTGTCAAAAAAAGATAATAGCAATTATTTAAATGTTTTATTTTATTTCATCTCAAGACCACACACGTGATGTTTGGTGACCTATAGAGGGTTCAAAACCCCAACTTTGGAAACTACTGGTTTAAGAGACACGTAAAGTTGTCCAAGATACAACCTAATCTGAGACTATTGTCAAAATACACTTTTCTATTTAGTTATTTAAAATTAAAAAGTTCACTGGTTGAGAGGTTTTCACATTTTTGATCAGTAACACTGATTTTTATGCTTCAGTGCGGACAAGTGAGATTAAATACTTCATGTAAGACGCCGGATTACGCCAACAATTCTGACATTTTAAAAACATTTTTCCAAAAGTATGTAAGAAAACAGAGCAGTCCGCACCTCAACACACAGCAGAAGCATCCAAGCTATACTCTTTTAATTCAATATTTAAGTCATTTTCTATCATTTTAGTCGTTTAATGAACAACATACTGTTAAACGTCATCGGATTTCTCTGTTAAATAGTCGTTCGTTTCAGTATATTTTTAAACGCACGAGTCACCATCAGACTGGCAGTTCTGCTTCACTTCCTCATAAAATGAATGTAATGGTTGATGAGGCTCTTTGGTTGAATTTGAAATGTTAGTATGAAGCTTTTATTTTGACAGCCTAACAGTTTGGGAACGAACCACCTTGACGGCTGCTAATTCAACGTTCTCCTTGCGGTTATTTAAAAAGTTTATTTTTGTTAAATAAATATCAGGTAAAGTCATTAACGTGTTTAAAACGTCCCGTCAACCAGATTTGTAGAAAATTAGGAACGCTCAGTATCAAGTACTTTTAATCCCTATAAAGAAAAGTATCTCCTGACCTTTGACCCCATTGTAAATCATTGCTGCACAGTCAATAACACAAAGAAGTGGCTCTTTAGTGACAAATGTGCTGAATGATCCATTTCAAAACATGATTCTTGGAGTCATGCGTGTGCAAACCCGTGGTCGTTATGTTTACTCACTCGCTCTTGTCCGGCCGTGTCCCAGATTAGAAATTTATGAAGCTCGTTTCCACACGGTACCGTCTTGGTCAGGAATGACGCCCTATGGATTTATTTCACAACATTACGTCAATCATTAAAAACCTTAAATCTGTTGGAGTCATCAGAAACGGAATAATACAGAATAGTTTGATGATGAATCCAGGTGAGCGTATCTTCCGTTCTGGGTTTTACTGGACAAACCAGGAAGTGGGGTCTGGTTTGTGTTTACACTTTAAATTTGAAGATCTAAAAGCAGCGTACTAAAGAATCATAAAACATCCCACTGAATTATTAAACACACTTTACCAAATGAACATTATTTTAAAATGCACCAACATCCTCAACTAGATGAAAACCAAAATGTTTTCTCTCCAATTACAGTTTTCCTCTCATCAAACTAAACGTTTAGACCTTGTTTTTGTGCGTTAAGAAACCCAGGTTTCTTTCTGTCAGTAATGAATTTACAAACTTTAAGGCACTCGTTGCAAAGCCGTGAATACAGGTAAATAACGCATAAACGAAAAAACTGCACACTTTTTATGTTGACGATTAATGTTCCTTAAATTACAAATTTGTCAGCAAAACGTGTAACTAGACGTCAACCACCACGAGTTTATTTACCGTGGGAACCAGACGAAAAGCTTGAAAATAGGTCAACAAAGGCGACGTCAAAGTCAGGATAGAATTCAAAACCTTACTTCTAACCTACAAAGCCCTCAACAACCTAGCTCCATCTAATATTGCAGATCTTATTGTTCCATATTTTCCTAACAGAGCACTTAACTCTCAGACTGCAGGTTTACTTGTGGTCCCTAGAGTTTCCAAAAGCAGAGTGGGAGGCAGAGCCTTCAGTTATCAGGCTCCTCTCTTGTGGAACCACCTTCCAGTTTCTGTCTGTGAGACACATTGTCCAGTTTTAAGACTTTTGAGCTCAAGTCTTTCCTTTTTTATAAATCCTATAGTTAGGGTTGGTTTCCTGAGCTATCCCTTATCTGCTATAGCTGCTGCTATAGGCTTAGAGGATAAATTGCTGGAGGACAATTTGACCACATTTCCTCGCTCTGCTGTTCTTTACTTGCTCTACTCTACCTGTTTATATTTGTACCGTAATTATTTCTATCTTAACGTGTTTTTTTGTCTTTCCTCCTATAGAAAGTACATCTGGATCTGTCATTCTATGTTTGTCTGTTCCTCCTTCCTGTTCCTTTCAAACCCAGCCGGACAAAGCAGATGGCCACTTGTCCTGAGCCTGGTTCTGCTGGAGGTTCCTTCCTGTTAAAAAGGGAGTTTTTCCTTTCCACTGTTACCAGTGTACTTGCTCAGGATGGGAGACTGTGACGAAGTGGAGATTCAACACAATCTGCTGGCTTCCTTACCGATACAGAACTTTTACTTACGATAATTGTTTTGTTTTTTTAATGTATGTGAATGTTTTTGTGCAGTTCCCCGAGACAACTTTGTTGTGACTTGATCCTATATAAATAAACTGAATTCAATTTAATTAAAATTGTCTATGGAGGAGTTGACTGGGTTGAAGTCGAACCGTTTTGGCGCATTATTAATGTATTTATGCTCAGATTTGTTGAGTCAAGTACGCAGATCAAACGTTAGGTGACGTTAAAAATCTAGAAGAAATTTCACAAAAGCCACGTGTTTGAACGCCATACTGTCCTTATGACGCTCCACTCTGAGTGATCCTCAATATTTATCAGACAGTAGTCCAACTTGTTCTCTTATTTATTCTTTATCGTATCCGTTTACCTCCTAGGACTGGGATGTTTATGAACGAGAGATGGTTTTAATTTCCTTCTCAGACGCACACTCCTCTTTTGCTTTTCCACTGAGACGAAGAAGGACAAGGGGAGCTGTAACTGGCGAACATGCAGTCAGGAGAGTGGGTTGTGCGCATGTGCGCTTAACCGTACGGTGACGTAGCCCGTTCTCCACGACTAATCGTTCAAAACTGAACCGCTTTTTAAAACGAACAAGACCCAGCTCCCCTCGAAGAGTTGTAAATCCCATCTCCATCACCTACACGGCCTACTGTAGGTCGATCACGACTCAAGCTTCCACATGGCTGAATCAGCTGAGCGCTTTGTTTACATCGAGTGCGTACCCACATTTCAGAAGTACACATCAACACATCTGGAAAAACTGCTGGACCAAAGCGTTTCAATCAACAATTAATATAGAACAGGTTAACGTTTTAATTTCATCGTTTGCAGTGAGTACCTTGAATGTAATTAATTTGGCATTCATAAATAAAAACATTTCCCTCAACCTGACCTCATCCGGTGTTTGAGTATTGATCCACTGAAGCTCGCAGGTCACATCTAAGCACAGAAACACAGGACCGAGTGGATTCCTGCCTCGTCGCGTGATCCATACTCACCCTATGGTCGGGCTTATGTTGTGATCAAAGTGATCTTGAACAAATCGACAAACGATGCTGGATTTGCCAACGCCGGTGTCCTGAAAAGAGAGTCACGTCAGTCTCGGCACACTCAATCAATTTGTGCTCACTTCAACCTACTGGGCTCAAGCTCATCCTACCGATACAACCAACAAAACCAGTTTGGACATAAACTGAAAGGGTTTATTTAGCACGTTTCATCTTTTATTCATCCAGCTCTTATCTTGGCTTTAGAACAACTGAAGCGTCTTCTCTGTAGGAGCTCGAACCGCCTAAATCAGAGTTGGGCAACATTTCTTTTTTTTCCAAAGGGCCACATCAAGACGTTTAAAACAATCAAAGGGCCGCACAGAGAATCGGAAAATACATTTTCTTTACGACAGAAAATCTAGAAGACATTTTTCTTATCGTAGCATAGTTAGCATGTTTTATAAAACAAGTATTTCCAAAATCCTGTAGGAATATAAAAGATATTGGAGATGAACCATCCACTTTTTTTTTTTTGATCCGATCCCGATCCCGAAATCTAGATATCGTCCAATACCGATCCAGTTCCGATATCATCATCATCGATTTTATATGAGGCTGTAATAATCTCCTCTCGAGTACAATTTGTACAAATATATGCATACATAAAACATGTTTTTTTTTATTCCTAGCTGTAAAGTGGATGTTAAAGTGATTAATTTAAGTGATTGTTTGTTTAAAAGTTTTTTTTTTAAATAAGGGGGAGATCTTTTTCTTCTTCTTTCTGCACTTTTTTCATTCGATGTTTTCTTTTTGATGAATTTGTTGTGTTTATTTTGTCTCTTTTAAATGAATGAATAAATTAAAAAATATTAAATGGCTTTAAACATCTGCTGACATTGCACCCCGTCTTGCTTTGTAGTAGACGAAACGTTTCTACAATTTTTTTTTTTGAATGTCCAGAGGACTAGATTTAACTTTTTTAGATTTTTCTACCTGGATTACTGAGCGTGCATCAGGATACTTGCTTTGTGGTGTTTCTAGTGTAAAATACTTCCACGCAGCAGACATTTTTATATATTTGTGTTTCTTAGTTGTTCTGGAAACACAATGACTTTTTTTTTTTTTTTTTTAGTAAGATGTTTAATTTAAATTTCCTTAAGTCTTGTTGATAAATTGCTGCTTTTTGCATCAATCTTTATTTAAAAAGTTGCTTTTAAAAATAATAATAATAATGAAAAGGGGCCTGATGGAGATTATCCAAGGGCCACTTTTGGCCCTCGGGCCTCAATTGTCTGTTCCAGACAGAGCTGTCGAAAACTTTCACATTTTGATTTTACATCATTAATAAAATGCTATTTTGCGATTTATGGATACAATTCCTGTAAAGGTTTAAGTAAAAAAACAAAAAAGACACCATAAAAAGGGGAGCTGCTTTTTGCAGACGCAGCAGGAAATTTAACGGCTCGCGTGCGGCTGGTCGGAGGATGACGTAATGGGTGATAAACAGTCAAAACGTTGTTTTAGGACAAAATGTAAAGAAAACTGCTTTAATTGATATAAACTGTGTAAAACAAAGAGATATAAAAGGACTTCTGCGCAAACCTACCGATGAGGCTTCCGTATTTTCTTCTTTTTTTTTTTTTCAGACGAGATATCGACATGTTTTACGAAAAACGCAAATAATAATAAATAAAAAAAAACTAACTTTGAAGTAAAACTAAAAAAATTAACTGGTTAAGATAAGGTGCTGGAAAAGTCGACATGTTTTCGTTAGTTCCGTTCGCTTCACGCTGAAGGAATTTTTTTTTTTCCCAAAAATTGATCAACAAAAACGTTCCGGTCACTTTACTCACCCCTAAAAGACAAACTTTGAGCTCCCTTATCGCCATGGCAGGTCCCGAGAGCGTCTAAATCATCATTTGTTCTTGTTAAATCATCGTCTTTGTCTCGTCATGATTTAAATCGCTTGTTTCTTCTCTCTTCTTGGATGAAAGAACAACCCAGCCCTCAGACAGAGGCAGAGCACAAAACTCAAATTTCTGGCAGTCCGTGAAGCTAACAGAAAGCTAAACTTCCGGTGGAGCCTTTCAAAATAAGACTCACGCCATGTCGTCAGGGTGGGCAACATTTTATTCCAAATATTTTCAGTTATTTCAAGCAGTCTGCTTTAAACTTTATATAATTTAACTTTATATAATAATACATAAAATTTATATTCATATAATAAAGTCTAAACGACAGGAAACTTAACTTCTGAAATGATAAAGTCTACTCGACTGTTTCTCTATTTAAACTAATATTTTCTTCATGAACGAATCATTTTTAAGTGTCGTGGCAATCAGAGAGAAATAGTCATGGTACAGAATAACAGGAAGCGGAATAAAAGGCAACACTGCAACATTTTTCTATGTGTAAAACAGTATGATTATCTTAATATTGCATGATTATAAAAGCCAAGTAGGTTGCAACTACAGTTTTACTTTTAAAAAAAAGGTCTAAATCTCAATTAAACATGCAAGTCTGACCTTTTGAGATATCCCAAGTTGTCTGATTGAATTTGCATCAGCTTTTGCTGCACAGGCCTTCAGACAAGCTGAAAATACAGATTACAAAACAAAACACTGCACCAGCCTTCTATAAAGCAACAGGAATAGTTACAGACTAATATAGCTCAGAAATACAAAGTAAAAAGACTATCAGTAAAATAACTATGTTATATTGACTTTGTTGTTTTTCTTTAAACTTCAAGGGTTGCCACAAAGAGCAAACCCACCTGAAAGTTTTATGCTGGACACCCTACCTGACACAATCTGGGCTTGAACCTGCAGCCTCTGGATTATGAAACTACACACCTTGGTTTGCACCTTATCCACTCAGCCACAGGTACAAGATATTCAGTAGAAACCATTAGGCAGTTGTTAATCCACATAGGCTTCAACTAGTTAAAACTCTTGAGAGATGTGGTTGCACCTCATTAGGAATATGTTTTTTTTAAAAAAGGTGTTTATTGAAAACGGTAATACAATCCTGGGACTCTGAGGGGCTTGGACTATGGCCCTGATCGTATCATGTAATTAAAATAATCTCAACGAAAAAAGATATTAGTCTGATAAATCATCAAAGCATGCTAAAAGTAAAGTGTCTTTATATCCGATTCATTGGTAAACTTTATTCTATATAGTGGATTTACTGTATATATTTACACAACTTTAAACATGTTTGAAATTTGACATGAAACCAATAAAACCATTTGCTAACCAGAAAATAGTTCTTTAGTGGAACACGAGTATCAAATAATTAATTTGCCAAAGAATAATGAGAGATTCTTATGATTTATAAATAAATAAAAAACTTTGTTATTATGATGCAACAGTATGCTTTTAGTTTGAAAGACAACAGTAGCTTTGTTTTTTCGGACTTGACAAAAAATGTTTTAAAGCATCTAAAGCAAAAAAAAAAAAAGCTGATTGGCTTCCATCTCATTGATTTTAAATAAAAATGTTTGGTGTGATGCGCTCAGACGAACGCTGGAAGGTGCACGTTAAGATGAAAAAGGTAAACCCCGACGTTCAGATTGACACTTTATTCTTCACAGCATCGGTCTGTCTGGAACAATCTGCTACAAACACTCCAAACAGAATGAAAACCACCACATGAGAAGCTTCTGAGCCCAATCTGACGCGTCTGTTTCAGTCACAGGATGTCGAACCAGGAGTCCAGATGAGCGACAGACGCTAGAATTATCCCAGCAGGGCTTTAGAAACAACAAAGACAGAGCTCAAAACACATTTTGTTACAATAACACACAACAAAGAAATAAGCATGCCATTGCTTTGAACGGCATTACACACAGAAATGACCCACTTTGAAATGATTGACTGATTTGCAGCTAGCAATAACTTCACAAGTTACAAATGAATAAAAGCATCCAGCACAGGTTAAAACATGATCACAGATGCATCGCATTTACATTTAACGCAACAAATAAAACCCTCCACATTTACTCGTTTGTAAAAAAAAACAGGAAAAAAAGTGATATCTGTCGACACTTTGCTGTTGTGAATATGTTCGTTTACATTCAGACCGTTGAAGTTTTGTGCATTACGTTTTTCAAAGACAGCAAAAGCTCCTATAATAGATTTATTCTGTACTTTAATGAAAAGCTATAAATTAAATCATTGCTTCTTTTTTATAATTGTCAGAACATTACCTAACTGTATAATATACAGACAATTCACTCATAAATTCTTTAGTATTCAAAGAGCTTTTGTTACTCGTGGTTCTAGCATCTTCAGTTATGGCACAGTGGTAACTCTCCTAACGTGAAATTAGCTTTTAGTTGAGGGATGAAACTGCGTTAGAGCTACGTCTTTGTTTGGAGATCACATCCTAACTCAATTATAAGTGAAAAATAAACTCTGAAATCCTTCATTCGCACCCCCCTCCTGTCTTTAAACAGGCTTGGCACTGCAGACTTAAAGGAAATGGTCCCTGGGAGCTGCTGATCTGTTTCTAGGTCCTGCCTTTTGCTCGAAGAGCAAGAAAAAGTCAGGACACCACAGACAAGATCAAAGATTTCTCCTTGGCTGCCACTTGGTGGACACGATCACTAATAAATGCTTCCTGTGGATGAGGAGAAACACGACGGGATCACTGATCTCACATGTTGGTGTCCCTCTTGTCTTTGCTCGGCGAGGGCTTTGAAGGATCCTTGGCTGTCTTTCCGTTGGCGGAGGTGGGCGTCTCGATGGCAGCAGCTGTTGCAGCGACGGAGCGTTTGGTTTGCTCCTCGGTGCGGGCCTCCGGGCTCGGCTGTGGGGGCGGAGCCTGCTCAGCCGGCTGCTGGACGGTCAGTTCCTGCTGCTTGTGGCTCTGCAGGAGGCGAAGCTGTACTCGGAGCTCCAGAATGGCTTCCTGCTCTTCGTGGATGGCCTGGTTCAGGTGGGTGTTTTTGTTCTGGAGGGCAACAACGTGCAGACAACGTTACAACACACTGTGCACGGCTCTACGACATGCGCCGATTTGCACAACTTTTAAAAAACGAAATGCCGTTTTATGAAGGAAACGGGAAAAATATTGTTATTTGGAGATCCAGCACTTAAAAGATTGGCTACTCTGGTGAAAAAGAAAGAATGCAGCTTTTATTTTGAAGTTGATCTGTGTTGTTAAAAAGCACATTTCATCTTAAATTGTCCTACACGCTTCAAGCACATCTGTACAAATCTGATGCATTTTTTGGATATTTGTTTAATTTGATGTAATTCCAGACACTTTTTTAGGGTGGCTTTATGTGTTTGATGCAATTATTTAAGTAATAATATCAATAATTTGTACAATACTTTTTGAGATCTTAGCCAGCTGCCTTCGAGGGCAAGAACTCCGTGTTAGGAATCATTCCCCAACACCATAAACGCTTCACCATCAACGCTCTTCAGTCAGAGTTGCAGGTACATGTGAAAATGCACGAGATAACATAAAACAATCACGCCCCACCTCCAGTTCCTCGTTTTGTTTCTGCAGGTCTTCCAGAATCATCTGCAGCTCTTCCTCATCCTCGCTTTCGCTTTCACTGTCTGACGAGTACTCCTCGGTCTCACTGCGACCCTGCTGCCGACTGATGGGGCACACAGCACCAGCTCACAGTTGGAACCAGCAGCTTACAGTGGTGAACTTTTAAACCAAACTCCCGTCTTCCCTCACCTCTGGATGTCTGCGATCTCGGCCCTCAGCCTCTCGATTTCTTCCTTCTCCGTGGCGATCTGTCTACGCAGCACCTGCTCGAGGGAAATCAGCTCCTCCTGCTCCGTCAGGATCTCGTTCTCCTGATTATCCAAAAGACGTGGAGCAGTTTTTATATCCGACACAAGCAGGCAACGTCCTGTTGATGTCATCACATCGTTCTGTGTGCATGAATGACTCACCTGTGCTAAAAGCAGGTTAATGACTTCCTCTTCGTTCTCGGTCATTTCCTCTTTTGACACGTCTTCCTTTGAGAGACTGGCTATTTCTTGGGCTATCTTGCTCTCACACTCCTGAAACCCCACAAACAGAAGAGATGAAACATGAACCAAATACTCAAGGCCAAGGAAATTAAAACAAGTATTTTAATAAAGCATAGACGGGAACAAAAAACAAGCACGAGACGTTTTATAACAAGAGACGTCAAAGACAATAATCAAAGATTTTAGAGTCTCATTCTTAGCAGCTGGCACCACGATAGATTCCTTCCAGAGTTTAGGAAAGTTAGGAAGAAAAACAAACAAGTAAACATCACCTGGCGTTTGGCTTCCCTCAGCTTACGTTTCAGAGCAGTCAGGATTCTCTGAACCTCCCAGAGTCTCTCCTCTTTGGACAGGTCCTTCACGCCGGCCTGTAGGTCTCTGTGCAGGCGGTTCAGCAGGAACTCCTGAGTACAAAAACACCTTCAGATAACCAGTTTAACTCATAATGAGCCCAATATGAGTCAAATAGGTTGAAATGTCTTATAGTGGGAAAACAATCAACACTGAACTGAAGAAGCTACAGCAGCACGTTGACCGCTTAGTTAATATCAGGATGGTCTTGGAAGATATACCAATAGCCTTTTCAGAGAATTAAAATTAGAAGCAAAACTAAATTCAACATATAAAATAAGGAATATGTTAAATAAGATGTACATAAACACTGATCTATATCGGTAAATCGACTATTGGGAGCTGTTGCTGTTTTTGTTAGCAACATGAGGGAAAAGCTTAAAACACTTCTGCAGAGCGATATATTTTACATGCGTTTAGTTTTAGATTAATTTAGATTTTATGAATATGAATTTCATTATTTCCAACTATACAAACACAACAGTTTGAGATTTCTTTTCTAGTTTTATGTTTAAATACAGTTGCATGAATTGAGAATGCACAGAGATATTTATAACAAAAGCAACTGCACCTTATATATTCAATTCAGTTTATTTATGTAGCACCAAATCACAACAGAAGTCGTCTCAGGACACTGAACAGAAACATTTATATATAAAAATAATAATTTAACATCATTTATCTGAGGAGCAGACTGCTTGGAGTTTAACTTAATCACAGAACTCTCGTCTTGAGCAAGCATGAAGGCGACAGTGGAAAGGAAAAACTCCCTCATGAGGAAGAAACCTTTAGCAGAACCAGGTTCAGGACAAGCGATCATCTGCTTAGACTGGCTGGGTTTGGTAGGAACAGATACACAATGGCAGGTCAAGAATCACATGTTACGATAGAAATAATATCAAGTGAAAACTATTCAATTTTAACAAATCATTTAAGGAAATGAGGTCAATTTTTCCTCTAGTAGTCTAAGCCTATGGCAGCATGACAAGCCAACCCCAACTATAGGATTTATCAAAAAGGAAAATCTTAAAACTGGACAATGTGTCAGCTTCATGGACAGAAACTGGAAGTTGGTTCCACAAGAGAGGAGCCTGATAACTGAAAGATCTTCCTCCCATTCTGCCTCTGGAAACTCTAGGAACCACAAGTAAACCTGCAGTCCGAGAGTGAAGTGCTCTGTTAGGAAAATATGGAACAATAAGATCTCAAATATAAGATGGAGCTAGGTTGTTGAACGCTTTTGTAGGTTAGAAGTAAGATTTTGAATTAAATTCTGGACTTGACAGGGAGCCAGTGGAGAGAAGCTAAAACTGGAGAGATATGATCTCTCCCACTAACTCCGGTTAAGACTCTGGCAGCAGCATTTTGGATCAATTGAAGACGTTTTAAAGACGTATTTGGACACCCAGATATTCAAATATTGTTTTTGTATTGAACATTTTAGAATTCATCATGTCCTGGATGACTGAGACCCTTCACCAGCACACCCAGATATATTTTATCTATTTTTGTAGACTGATTTGGCAAATATTCTCTAAATATGTGGCATTTAAGTGGACAAATACAGTCCAGAAAGACAAGGAAAGTGTCAAAAGTAAAGATCTGCAGCTGCAAAACATTTAAATTTAAATAAAAGTGGTTTCCTGGCTGAGCTGCTTTAAGAACCATCCTGTTTAAAGTGGTGACAATCAGCCTTAATAAAAATATTCTGAAGCAGAAATCATAAAATTCTCACAAACTAGAAACTAAAACCAGCAAATATGTATCGTTAATGCTTTATGGTTAATATGACTGAAGCCACCTGTCGTCGGATCTCCTCTTTGATGTTCTCCTGCGTCTCGGGCAGAGCCGGCATCGTCGCCATGTTGGACCAGCGCAGCGGCCGCACCACCGGCTTCAGGACGACGTCTCCAAACAGCTCCTTCACGTGGGTGAAGAAGATGTAGAGGACACGATTCCCGATCTGTAAGGAAGGTGACAATGAGCCCAGACAACCTGAATCTGTCCTTAAAGTGGGTCTGTGAAAACCAGCTGAAATGTTTCTGGGTCATGTTCTGAATAAATTCCTGCGTATCTGTTGCCTCATTACTGCTCTCATTAATTACCACCATGTTTATTTAACTGTGCTGTGGCTACTGATGTTTCAGGCTCAGAATAAGTGGGACAGCCACAGAGATGCCTCCTGTGGGATTAAATTAGCTTCACTGAACTGGGCCAAGGTTTCAGAGATGAACTGAACCAACAGGAACATGGCCGCTTTGTTGCTAAGGGAAGGTCTGAGCCTGAACCAAAGCTGCACATTCCTCCTCGAAGTTTACTCTGGCTGTTGTTGGTGCTCTGACACATTTATCTGTTCCTTAAAGAGCCGTCTCCACCTCTGACCTGTATGGTGGGGTTGAGGACGATGGAGATGTTCTGAATGTTCATCTTGGTGTCCGCCTCCCTGGCAATGACGTGCTCCATGTGCGTGACGAGCCAGGAGAGGAGAAGTCGGCTCTCCGGCGCCACCTCGGCCAGCAGCTTCTGAAACTCTGCCACTTTCTCGGCCTCCGCCTGCCGACCGCAGGTGTCCTCGAATCTCTGGGCCAGGTCTCGACCCAGCAGGTTCTCCGGCAGCTCGCGGAGGTACTGCTTTAGCAGGCTGGCCACCGTATGGGGGTCGTACTCCTCCAGGCAGGGGCACTCCTCCCGGTCGTAGGCTGCTTTCAGTTCATCCACCTTAGACTTCATGCCTGACAGGGAGAGAAGTGATGGTGAGATCAGAGGGAAGACTTCCTCTGAAGGATAACTGCAGATGTCTGATACCTGAGACCCGATAGATGCCCTCACACTTCATGCCGTAATTTTCTATGTAGTCCACACACTCCCTGAAGATGCTGGGCAGCTGGATACTGTCGTACAGAGCCGTCCTCTTCACGGCTTCAGCCAGCGGAGCTCCGAAGATGGGCCTGATGGTGGGGGTCTCCACTGGGACCGGCTCTGCTTCTGTGGCAGGCTTCTTCTTCTTCTTCTTCTCCTTCCACTGTTTGACCACATCTGCAGCCGTCAGGTCCTTCGACTTCTTATCCTTGGCCTTGTCCTCTTTGGGGCCCTTCTCCTTCACCTTAAAGTCCTTCTCTTTCTTCTTGGAGAAGCTCGGCTTCTTGAACACATGGATTCCCTTGGAGCGCTTCATCTTGGACGGGCTCTCCGCTTCATCTGCCGAACTGTCCTCCTGGAAGGCGGCGTACCCTTCGGCTGTGAAAGCAAACGGTAAAAAGAGGTTAAATCTGAGGGGAGAAAGGCTCCTGTGTTCCTATCTCCCTCTTACAACAGAACTATGACAGCAGTGAAGCAGAATCAGGAAGTGAGATGTGTGAGAGAGAAAGGAAACCAGAGGAGGGAGAGAATGAGGACTCAGAAAAGAGGTCAGCCACTGATTTAGCACAGCTCCCACAGCACTTTACACCTCTCTTCTCCAAAACAGTCGTAATTTACGCCGTTTTCCTCAAAGAAAAACAATGAGTGGCCTTTTCCCAGTTTTAGTTCATTGTTATTATATTGGCCTGTTTATCAATCTTTCACTGGGATCTGTGGGTGTTGCCCTGAAAACTGTCCATCTCTTCCTTTCTTTCACAGCAGGAGCTAAATACAGACATGGAAAGCTCTGATACAAAGTGGACAGTGGAGACAAACACAGCCCACACTACGAGAGAAAGCAGGATGGAAATGTGGAACATCTCTTACGAGCAAAAGCTCAATAAAATCTGTTCTCACTGCAGTTTACAGACCTGAACAAGATCAACTAAATGCATTAAATCTTTTGAAAGCTGGTATTATAAACACAGTCCTGTGAAAAAGTTTTAAATATTTCATATGTAGCACATTTCTTAGTAACACGCACAATATTTTCTAGTTGTTTTTAAATTATTACAAAATTTACAAGTGAAATACATACAAATAAAATGAAAAACGTATATATTGCAAAGTTTCATTACCTGGGAGAGATTTTTTTCTCACTTTTAGTGAATTTAATTCGAGGACTTTCAGACTTTCTGCTTGAGTAAATTAAATCAATTTTAAAATATTACTGTATTTTATGAGAAGCTATCCATATATGTTCCCACGAGGAGACTGTTCTGTTTTAGCTCAACTTTAAATTCATGAGTGATGGTGTTAAATTAGGATTTAAGATTTGTTCACAGAGTCCTGACAAGTGTGAGCAGTGCAGTTTGTTATCATCGTTTCCAGACGTCACCAACCTAATCATACATCCATCCATCATCTTTACCTGCTTCTTTCTTTGCGGGTCATGTGGGTCACTGATGCTCATGTCCAGCAGTCACTGTGTGAGAGGCGGGGGACACCATGGACAGGTCTCCGGTCCGTCATAGGGACACGTAGAGACAAACAACCATTCACTCTCTCACTCACACCTAGGGACAATTTAGAGTTACCAGTCAGACTAACATGCATGTTTTTGGTCTGTGGGAGGAAACCAGAGTACCCGGAGAAAACCCACGCATACACGGAGAGAACATGCAAACTCCACCCGGAAAGGCCGTCCAACAACCATCTCACTGAGTGGCAACAGCTCAACTGTGCCGACCCCTATTAATACAGGTTTCTGTATATACAGTATCATCATGGTAACAACGTGGAACCAGCTTTGCCTGGACAGAAACTTCCCACAGACGAGGCTAAAAGAGATTTGTCATCATCATAAAATTGCAGGTGATTTTAGTTCTCTTGCATGTTAGGATCATTGGCAACTCTAAATTGTTCCTAGGTGTGCGTTAAGAGTGTGACTGATTGTCTCGTTTGTCTCCATGTGTCTCTTTAATGGACTTGTGACCTGTGCATGGTGTCCCCTGCCTCTTGCACAATGACTGCAGGACATGGATACCAGCTGCCCTGCAACCCAGAAAAGAAAAGCAGGCAGAAGAAAATGCTCACTTTATGTCACAACGGCAGCCCAAAGAGTTCGATCATCTCATCTCTAAAGCCAAAATTGCTTAAGTTTTTTGTTGAATACTGTTTGCATTTATTTTACCAATTTATTTTAAATCATATTATAGCCCAAAACATGGTGCACGATATGTTTTTAAAATGCATTTGATGAAACTCCACAAAAGAAAATGTCAAACCTTTTTTTCCCACCAAACCTCACAAATCACCCTTTTTTCAATTAAACTCGAGATAAATGTCAAGTCAGTTTATTTCAATTTAATCCCTTCTGTGATTTGGTAAAAGGCCACAGACGTTTTAAAAGACTCCTTGCACCCAGGTCACATCCTGTTCCAACCACTAACCACAGGCTGGAGGTACAGGAGCACTGAAAATGAAACACAGTCATCAGGACTGAGACCAAAGACTGCCACAAGACCAAAGTGGCTCAAAGTAAAAACACATCTTACTCCTTTTCTCCTTCTTCTTGAACTTGTTCTTCTTCTTGCCGTGCTCTTTGTCGTCATCTGAGACGTAGGCATCAGGCGGCTCATGATGATGATGATGTCCATCGTGAGGGGGCGACTGTTCGCCAGCACGATACAGACCGGGGAACTTGGTGGGGCTGATCTCCTCAGAGCTGGGGGTGCGGGCCACGCCAACCGGATGCTCCGCCCTGCGCTGCTCCGCAGGGCTGCTGCTGGGGGGCAGGAAGCACTCGGTCATGGCTGCTCCGGCTTTCTTACAGCTCTGACTGGATCATCACCTCTCCGTCACACCTGCAGTGAGCAGAAACATAGAGAAGAGCATAGAGTTACGCTAGAGAACTTTACCAAAAGAGATTTTTGAAAGATATACATAATTAAGTGATTTAAATTTAGGGTCAAATTGTCAGTAACCCAGAAGGAAGCAGACACAGATGCAGCAGAACAGGTTGGCTTCATCAAAAAATCATTTTATTACTGTTCTGGCACAAAATGTAAACATATACTTGTTAAATAGAACAATATCTGTTATATTGTCACCCTTTTTTGTTTAGAAATGTTTTATGGACAAATACATTTATGAGCAGAACGCATTACTGTCAAACATTTGGGGCAACACTTTCAAGAATCTTTATATTTCCTAATGTAATCTTTCAAAATAATAGTTATCCAAGTTTCCTTAATGTTCTTTACATTTGGTCTGCTTATTTTTTTTAATCAAACAATTTTTTTGTAAAAAGCATAAAATGTTTTAGGCTAGTTTTGGAGTCATCTTGTAGGATCTAAGATGCAATTTTAACGTTTGTCATATGGTTCTCGTATCTCGGTGCAACGATAATAAAGTTTATTCTGATTCTGATGGTTTTATCTTTGGTGTTTGTTTGTTTTTTTTATAGAAAAGAAGCAATGGGAACAAAATGTGTTTGTTGGTAACAAAGTGCCAAAAAAAAAAAATCCCCATCAAATTTCCAGCTGATTATTTGACAAGTTGTACATTACAAAAACAATAATAAAAATAATTAAAAAAAACATATTTCTTAGAAGAAATAGTCCAGTCTTGTACCTGACACTGGACTGAAAAATATTGAAAAGGCATCCCAAGTACAAAGCATAACCTCCATAAAACTCTTGATCAAAAGTCCTGAAAAGTTTCAAGAAACCTTAACTCCCTAGAAAACAAAAAGAATGGTGGCTGAAAACTTTTGCACAGTACTATCAAACTCAAAACCCAGTTCAGTTACCGATCTTAGAAGTATAAGTATCATCAACAGGGAATGTATTTGATAATTTGAGTTAGACAAAAGAAGAAGCTTAGAAATGATGTAAATGAATTGAGCAAGTTACAAACATAAGATTTTTGAACTTATTTCTACAATTTCCCAATCTTTAGCTGTGATAATCTTCTTCTTTCTGCTTTTCCCTCTTTAAAGGTTGCCATAGCGAGTCATCCTCCTCCATCTGTTTGTTTCCATCCAATTGTTCTAGAATGGCGCCGCTCGGGGTGGCTGCATGTTGGAGCAGCTCTGTTACTTTCATTCTGAGATTTTGCTTTTGGAAAAACTTTAATTCCTCTTTTTCTGGATGTAAATCACATTTTTTGGATGATTGTTTCCTCTGGTATCAGATGCTGTGCAGCTGGAAGGATTTTTACTGAAACTTTTTTAGTTTTGGACATTTGTTATGATGCGTAACCATGGCAACAAGGCAGTTTTCTACAACCAACAGCTGATTAACATCATTACGGCTCAAATAATATCTCAACAACAGCCCCAAATCTCAGATGGGTTGAAAAGGATGTTCTGTGGACGCATTCTCATCTACCTGCCAGCTGTGCTCGAGTGCCTGATCACTGAGATCCTGGAACTAGCAGGAAACATGGCTCATGACAGCAGAAAGACAGGATCGTCCCTCGGCACCTACAGTCGTCTGTCCGCAGCGACGAGGAGCTCAGCAGACTTCTGGGAGGAGTGGCCATCGCTCTGGGAGGAGTTCTGCCCGGTATTCGGGCGATCCTACAGCCTGGGGGAACTGAGAGGCCAGCCGAGTCTGAGTGGACAGATCGGACGGCATCTGCAGCCAGTTTCTTAGGATCCACTGTGGGATGGACCTTTACAAGAGCTCCTTCCTGCCTACAGCCATCAGTATCTATAACATCTCTTAATGAAATGAGGATAACGAGTTACAACAACAAATAATTTCCCTTTGGGATTAATAAAGTATTTTTGAATTGAATCTTACTCTGTCCTCTGCATCCTCTGTCCTTACTCCATCTACATTAGAGGACATCCTCTCTAAATGCATCCATATCTCCTCTTTGTCTTTTTCAGGGCAGCTGCATTTCTAAAATCCTTCTACCAGTATACCCACAGTCCCTCCTCTGGACATGTCCAAACCATCTCAGTCTGGCCTCTCTAACTTTATCTCCCACTTGTTCAATCTGTGCTGTGCCTCTGATGATCTCATTCCTAATCTTATCCATCCTTGTCACTCCTAAGGAGAACCTCAACGTCTTCATTTCTGCCACTTCCAGTTCTGTCTCCAGTTTTGTTTTGTTTTTTGTAACTGGTTTACTGATCAGAAAAAACAAAAACACACTAGCAACTTAAACTCCTCAAGACCACAACTAAAGCACATTTGTTTGTGGATTCTGACAAACTGCAGCATTGAGGTCTACCCACCAGATGGGGCTTCTGTCATTCAAACAATCATCATCCTCATCTTTCCAACAAACCTCTTTTCTGTCACGAACAGCAGACAGAAACAAAACTCCCAATTCTTCTCCATCGAGCACATAAACATTCATGCATCTGATTCACATCTGAGGCCAGCAGCACATAACCACATTCAGTTTTAATTTTATTGACCTGGAAGTTTGTAATGATCAGGAAAAGGAACCTGAAGCAGTTGTAAAATGTTGTAGGAAGCTGATGTATTTACTTTGACAATCTTTAACTTTTAAAGTTTAAAACGTCGGTTCATTTTAATCACTTTCTCAGCAACTTCAACATATCGTTTTTGTAAAATTATAGTGTTTTTATTTATCACTTTTTATGGTATGTTGCATTACCTTTAAGGCAGACATAATGGACGAAACAAACCATTTGTATAATTTTCTCTACAACGTTTTTAAGTTTAGGCACAAAACGATTCACAAAACGAGTCTTCCTTAGGGTGGATCGTTTTATTTATATTTTTATTTTCTACAAGAAGGTTAACTTTAAACAACTCGTATATTATCAGACTGTTGTTAAACATTAATGTTTGTTGTCTGAGACGATTAGCTGAAGCATAATTATTTTCAGGCTGTCAAAAAGTGAAGCTCTCGTCTGAATGGAGCGGCCCATTATGCTAACGTTAATACAAGCTAGCTGAAAAGCTGTCGGTCACGACAAATAAAACGTTATTTTCATCAACACAAAATCATCTTGATGAGTAAATATTTAAATAAAAACGCTCAAATTTATTTTAACATCGCCGTGCTGTTGTTGAACGAGCAATACGTTAAAGAAAATAAACTTTACCAAGTCCTGTTCCGTCAATTCCACAGCGAAGCTTCCGGTTGTGTATATACTAAATAAAGCCATCTGCGCCTGCGTCGTTACACGAGTGCACGATGGGAAATGTAGTTAAATTTACTTCGCATTCAGATCCATAATGTAAAACGGTAAAGTTTTTATAATAAAGCGTCTACACCAAAATGATTTTTGTTAACGTTTAAAAAAAGTTAATTATGTTTATTTTTGAGATTATCTGAAATGTGTTAAATTACAAATTGTTCCTGATATTTTTCACACAAGGAGACAAATGCCAGACACAGTTTTAAACAGTGGAAAAAGTAATCCAAAACACAAAATTGTAATTCAGAAATTAAAAAAGGCTGTAGAAAAATGTAATAAAAAGATGACAATGTAGAAATATTTCACAGTGTTGTTTTTTGTTGTTGGTGTATTTGTGTGTCATAAGGCACAGTCTGACAGGCCTGGGCTGCAGCAGTAATGTTTTTCTTATTGGTGTGGTTTGGCATTGTCTTGCTGAATTAAGCAAAATCTTTCTCATCTGAATTTGAGCATATGATGCTCAAAAGCCCGTTTCACTCAGGATGAATTGGACCTCCTAGATGTACACATAACCCATGTGGCGTGAACTAAAACAGCAATCTCACTTTCATATTGACTTTTCGAGCTGTTTGGTGGACAAGACAGATGGTTCTTATCCCTTCAAGAAAGAGATAGAATTGATTACTTTTTCCTTAACCTTAGCGCATCTTTAATAAACGTCAGGCCCAAAAGAGGCATTTCAGTTTTTGAGTGATAGAGATTTAATTTATATTTGATCATGCATTACAAAAAACTGCCTCCAGATGTTTGTGTGATTTACAATACAGAACTATGTCTCATAATTTGTAATTCTTTATTCACGTGCTTGAATATTTGCCCATCTTTTATTTGACTCATTTAGGTTTGTGGCATCATCTCAGCTGAAACTAAAGCCGTAGCTTCATAAAAGTTGAATTTTTCACTTGGAGGGCACCAGATTTCAAATGTGCGCAACCTGTGGGTTTCTTAACCAAAAGCTGTGGAGAATGCTTTGTGAGATCATTTCCATTCTAAGCACAGTTTGTTTTATTCGGTCCTTACACGTGGAGAAACTTGTTTTGGAGCAGTGGGAACATCTAAATATAGTGAAACCACTTGCTTTTTTGAATCATGTGTACTTTCCCAAAATGCTGCGGATGGACTCGGCGTTGATGGTCAGCCTAACATATTAAAACAAATTAGTCCTCTGATGATCTTTGTTGGCACAGTCGGCACCAAACGACGGCTGCAGTGGCGAAATGAGGTCGGGATACAAAATCACACACACAGTAAAGACAAACAAGGTTTCATTGTGTGCCTGCAAGATGAGTCTGTCCAATCTGCTGCTGCATGCCAACTGGGAACACAATCAGTGATTGGGCACCCTGCTGATTTTTGGAAAATGTACTGGCACCACAAAGCGTGTTTGTGTGTGGGATGAGGGACTGGCATCGGTCTGTGTTTTCCTCTTGGCCTGCATGGGACCGTCACTGAGAGCCGGACACCTGTGGACCAGAATGGGAATAATAACAACTTTGTTTCCCCAGGAAATAACACGTTTCCTCACTCGTGAAACACCAAAATAAGAGTAGCCGAAAGGAAACCGAAGACGAAAGAATAAATCTAGTTTGAATCAGTCCTGTTTCACAAAATATAAAAATAAAACACATTTAAAAGTTAAAAACTGCCATAAAAAAAAACTAACCCACTGCCTTATTATTGGTATTGACCAAAACAATCTGTTAGCACTCGGTGTGTACGATATGTATGACTCTCAGCTACTACCACACCACATTTTCTCATATGTGTAACACTGACCTGCGTTATAGTCATTTTTGTATTTGTCGAGGCTGAGTAGCCGTGGGAGCCATCTTATATTGGGTTGAATCCAAAAGTTAAGCTGTTGCAGATAGGCCTGTCACGATAACAAATTTTGCTGGGCGATTAAATGTCTCAGAAATTATTGTGATAAATGATAATATTGAAATTTAAGAATTTAAGAAGAAATGTTGGCTAATTTGTTTTGAGTGTAGTACCTTTTTTTGATCACCAGATGGCAGTATAAGAGTGTTTGAACAGAAGGATGGATAGTGAGGGAGAGAGCAGTGTGTCTCTTTAAGAAAAATGGGAGGGAGGCCCCTTGATGTGACATGGGCTGTCTCTCCTTTCTTCTCTTAGGTTCTCATAATGGTGGACGCTCGGTGTGGTTTGAGCTCTTTAACAGAGCATTTTTCAAACAAAGCTTTTAATAAAAAAAATCAGTAAACAAGTTCTCAGCTTCTTTTTGCAGAGGAAAAACAACTTTTTAGACGAAGGCAAAGGATTCAACCGTGAATTTTGAAGCTTCGACAAAACAGATTTTCCCCCAAGGTCAGCCTGTTAGCTTAACTCGTAGCTTAGCTTCTCAGCTTGGCTGCTTTTAACCAGACAAAATCGCAACTTTGGATGGTTAAAATGGATTTTAAAGAGAAAGGGAGGGGTCAGTGAAGAGCACCGGCGTTGAGCCTTTTGTCATCCAGCGTCTTCAGAAAGAGAGACACGAAGAAACGATAAAGCCGATAAATGAAAATGAGGTTAATAATTTTCATTTATCATGCGATTAATGGATTTATTGTTTATCGCGACAAGCCTAGTTGCAGAGTTTCATTCAAACGCGTCCAGAGTTTCATGAGATATTTGGCTCACAGACCGAAAAACAAACACGCAGACGGAGGCGTTTACATGCTCCCTTGTGCCTTTTTATAAGACTGTGTGGTATACATCACCAAATATTTTCTTTATTCGGCACAAGGCTGAGATTTAGCAGACCATAAATGCAAAAATACATTACTCATATACACTAAAGTAGAAAAAATAAACACGGTATCGAAACATGTCTAAAAATATACAGTGGAACAGCACAGTAAAAACATTTTGTAGGGGTAGGAGAGGGGAGGAGGGGGTGATATTTAGAGGAGTGCTAACATGCAACAGTCATGGGTGCCTCTGCCCTCAGTCCTCCGGTGCAGCCCAGACATTTGGTACCGACGTGTCCCCCCCTCCACCTTCAGAACAGACAGTTCAAACACTTCACAGCCTTGCTGCCGTAGTCCACACACTCCGGCCCGATGCACTGGCAGCAGGCGTTGTGAAACCAGCGGTACTTTGATCCTCCCATCGACTCACAGTAGAGTTTACACTGACGGATGGACACGCAGTCGTCGAAGTAGACCACCGTGCACATGTTTTCTGGAAGAGGGGGGATGGGGGGGAGGAGAAATAAGCACGCAACATGAGTCACAGCAGGTTTACCCAAACAGGTATTTACCTTTAAACTCTGCGCGGCTCCACTTTTACTTAAAGAGTGCACAACCCTGTGTTTTCGGTGGGTGTAATGAGTTAACTGCTCAGCTTTGTGGGAATGTTAGCAGCTCCGGGTTCGGCTTAAAGAGCCAAAACAGCCGCAAATGGAAACATTTTCATCCCAGATATTTCTTCCTTTAAATAGAAACTCTTGCAGCTCCGTCCAGCTGCCTGCTCAAGACTTTTATTACGTCTAGGTAACGTCGACGCTCATAAATCTAGATGACAAAACCTGTTATGACCAGAGGGAAAAGAACAACAAAAAAAAAAACGATTATTCATTGGCAAAACAAGCCCTTTCTCATGCTGGTGCACTTATTCAGAAGCATTATTACAGCCGCCGTGTTCACAAAAGCCAAAATAAAACAGCTTTAATGAGGTCAAACATGATCAAACACAAAGCAAACCACATTTTTTCCCCGCTGCAGATGTTTTTCACTTGTAATTCCTGGAATATTTTTCTCTGAGACACAACTTTAACTATTAACACGCATATCCTTGCAACTAAACTTTCAAAATAAAAGCATCATCACAGATTAATTTCACTTGACGTCGTGGTAGGTTAAAAATAAAAAAGCTTTATACCTTTGGGATGGTTTTTATTTCTGCATAAATATTACTAAAAACAACACGGGATGCTCAAAGAAGCCTAAAAATAGATCACAGTTTAGCAAATGTTTCCCACCCGTTGGACACGGAGGTGGAAGTATCATGATTTAACTCAACAATCTGACGAGAAGCAGAAAAGTAAATTTTCAAATAAATAACTGAGCATTCTTTGCAGGAATGCCCATCACCAATCGTCTTACAGTTATGAATAAAGAGCTGTTTGTGCTCAGAGTGTGTGCTCTAAATGACTCTCAGCTACTACCACACCAGATTCTAGTGGTTTTAGCTTTTTTGTGTTGGCTAATGTCATTTTCTTTAGCTGTTGGTCGCTTTTAGTGCTCATAATGTGCGATGGGGACGATTCTCAGCTATTACCACGGCTGATTTTAGGTCAACATCTGTGAAATTGATTTTTTTAAAGGTCACTTCACTGTGGCGGCCATCTTGAATCGATCTGGCTGATGTTTTCTGGACAAACAGACATGAACTGTTTTTTATTTATTTAAAAAAAAAATAATAATTTTGCCTCGTTTGTTTAAATGTAACAGTTTATTCTACCTTTACGACTTATTTATGAATGTAAAGCTTGTTTAGGGGGAGCACAACTTTCCCGTTTCCATGGTACCTTGATTGTCGTAGCTTGTGTGGATGCTGTTGCCGGGCACCGAGACGTTCTGGTGCTGGTTGTCGAGCGACTCCAGGAAGGAAACCAGGTTCTCGTGGTGCGACAGCTCCTCGGACACGGGGAAGGACACCACCATCATGTTGATGGGGGCCTCGCCCTCCGTCAGGGCGCGGAACAGCGAGGGGATGGGGCGGTGGAGCTCCTCCACCGTGCTCTTCGATGTGGCGGGGGAGTCGCTGTAGTTCTTGGGGTTACACATCCCTGATGGGGGGGGAGGAGAGAAGACGAACGAGAACGTTAAACGAGGGCAGTTTGTGAAAACCACAGCGCTGTTGGAGGTCACTCGTCTTCATTAAGGTCTTTACTACACTTCATTTCACCCACACATGCAGGAGTGATCACCAGATATAATCCTCTAACCTTCTCGAATGAGTTGAGGTGAATTAACTAACGAGTAAATCACTTAATGGGGAGCGGACTTTGACGTGGGATTTGGATTACAAACCCATGCTAAGAGCAGAGCCGGAGCAGCTGTTTTGGATAAAACCAACTCCTGGCTGCTCCCTCCCGCCTTTAAAAACTAAAAAATAACTCTCCCCGCCGCTCCTCTAACCACTCACAGACGCACACTTCAAAGCAGGCGGCGCTCGGCCCAGAAAACATGTCCTAAGTGGAAACTTAAACTGGCAAAAAGGGGAAAAGAAGAACAAATGAAGACATAAAGTTGCTTAAAGCTGCAGTTTATCCTCCGCGTTTTGTAAAAAGGAGGAGGGGAAGAACGGATTCAACATCTGTGCAGCAGCAGCAGCGAGTTCAGCGCTCAGATTCCTGTTCTGGCGTTCCACATGAAAGCACTTTAATAAAGCGTCCTTGTCAACAAGTAGAATCATTTCTGTCCGTCACAGCCGATGTGAGAGCTGACTGGCTCGCATGCGACGCACCCAGAGTCAGAGAGCAGCTGGATCTCAGTGGATCTGACTGGTTTCTGTAGTCTGAGCGACGATGTTGTTTTTGAAGATAGCAAAGTGCCCGGCGGTTTGATTCTACATCTGTTTAAAGATAGACGACTGTCCTGAACCAACAGGAACACAAACCTGCTGGTTTGACAGAAATCACTGCAGGTTGTTTATATGAAGGTTTTTCAAAGGGCAGGCTTGTAAATAACATCATGAGTGTAGGCATTTTCTGTGTTACTGGTACAAAAAATAAATCAAAGTTTAATGCATGTCAGTGAATCTGTTTTTAGCAGCGATGATTATCCCAAAGGTGGCATTTTATTGGGCTGCAGCTGGTGGGAGACCAGCTGGCCACTCAAGATTATGAGGAAAAAGACTAACTTTCTGTTTTAGTCAATAAACTCTGTGTGTAACCAACAAACCAGCGGGCAAGAGTTTTAAAAATCACAGCTTATTTTTGTGCGATTGAACTCTAGGCTGTGCACATTACCATATTTTCTGGCATATAAGTCACATTTTTTTTTTGCATACATTTGTCAGTACTGTGACTTATATGCCAAAGCGACTTGTATACGTTTTTTTCTCCCCATATTGATAACGCAATTTTTGACTGACGCTTTAAATTTCAAAGAACTGCAACAGTGAGATAATAAATGCGATAATAAGCGGGGAGTGGTGGCGCAGATGTTAGAGAAGGTGGGCCTGTGATTGGAAGATCGCCAGTTCAAGCCCCGGTACCGACAACATCAAAAATGTGGGTGGGGTAGGTGAAGTACCCACACCTGCCCCCACCTTCATTCGTCCCACTCTGGGCCCTTGAGCAAGGCCCTTAACCCCCACCATCTGCTCCTCCGGGTGTCCTAGATAGCAGCTCTCTGCTCCACACAGAGGGCTGTGGTAGCTCGGTGTCTGTGGTTGCGTCAGGAAGGACATCCCGTGTAAAAATAACTGCCAAGTCTTCGTGTGACTTAGTTTGCTGTGGCGACCCCTGACACAGGGAGCAGCCGAAAGAAGAAATGTGATAATAAATGTGATAATAAATGTGACAATAAATGTGACAATAAATGTGATAATAAATGCGAGAATAAATGCGATAATAAATGCGATAATAAATGCGATAATAAATGCGATAATAAATGTGAGAATAAATGTGAGAATAAATGCAATAATAAATGCGATAATAAATGAAATAATGAATGCGATAATAAATGCGATAATAAATGCGATAATAAATGCAATGATAAATGCAATGATAAATGCGATGATAAATGCGATGATAAATGCGATAATAAATGCGAGAATAAATGCGAGAATAAATGCAATAATAAATGCAATAATAAATGAAATAATGAATGTGATAATAAATGTGATAATAAATGCAATAATAAATGAAATAATGAATGTGATAATAAATGTGATAATAAATGAGATAATAAATGAAATAATAAATGCGATAATAAATGTGATAAAAAATGCAATAATAAATGAAATAATGAATGTGATAATAAATGTGATAATAAATGCAATAATAAATGAAATAATGAATGTGATAATAAATGTGATAATAAATGAGATAATAAATGAAATAATAAATGCGAGAATAAATGCGAGAATAAATGCGAGAATAAATGCGAGAATAAATGCGATAATGAATGAGATAATGAATGCGATAATAAATGCGATAATAAATGCGAGAATAAATGCAAGAATAAATGCGAGAATAAATGCGAGAATAAATACGATAATAAATGCGAGAATAAATGCAATAATAAATGCAATAATAAATGCAATAATAAATGCAATAATAAATGCAATAATAAATGCAATAATGAATGCGATAATAAATGCGATAATAAATGCAATAATAAATGAAATAATGAATGTGATAATAAATGTGATAATAAATGCGATAATAAATGAAATAAT